GTGGTTTAATACAGAAAAAGTCCTTAATGACTTGAGAGCTGTCTAGTATTAACATGCTGACACTGCAAAATCAAAATGGCAAGTCACTCATAGGGTGAGCCACGCTGGACAGACATCTGTGTCTATCTTCACTACTTTCCACTAATAAGAACATTGTGGTATCCTATTATGGTAGGACCATAGGATTTAACTGTTGTTCCTCAGTATTTTGCTGCAACATAAGTAAGCCACTGTATAGCTTTTCCCATTTCAGGGAAGGGCCTTGTTCTTCTCAACAGCCAATAATCTGTGTACTTTTTGGTCCCTGGCTTGTTGTTGTTGTTTGACGATTATGTTGTTGTTGATGTTGTTTTTTTATTTCTAATGGGTGGCCTGTTAAATGAATTGCCCTTTGGGACTAATAAATGTATTTTGAATCTAAAACATGTAGTGGAATTTATAAACTCTTAAAGAACCTAAAAGCAGGACTGATCATGTACTGACTGTGTGGAACCTCAGTTTGTTGATTCCATACTGATGTGTGGATTTTGAGTTTTTCAGCCAGGTACTGTAGGGATTCATATTTTATTTCATTTTATGAGAAATTGGCAATGCAATGATACGCGGTACCATCGAATTTTTTTATTATTCATTTGTTTGTTTGTGTGATGGTAATATGGATTTAAGACATTTCTAGGTTCCTTGTGGTTTTTTACAGTAGCTAAAACAAAGAGAGGAGATGGACCTCACACTGATGCAAAGCAAGGTAAGAACGTAACTCCTTGCTTCACACAGACATTTCCAATATACAATGTAACAAGTTATTGCAACACAAAACATATCTTTGCAAAAGCTTAGGAAAACAGACATATCGATTCTGTTTTGAAATTCACCATCCATCAATGTCTACAGATTGCTGTGTGCAAAAACACCATCAATATAAGGAGATAGGGTTGCACAGTCTGGTCATTATGAGTCAACTGGTGTGTGTTGGACAAATTTTAGTTGGAAACTGTCACTGGGAGGATACTATGGCTGGGCCTCACAAATACAAAGGGCTGTTTAAGTTCAGGGCTAAGGTTAAAATTAGGCTAAGGTTAAGGTTAGAGGAAGGTTAGAAAATGCTTTTTTATAAGTGTCCATACAACTATAGAGTGACAACATGCGTGTGTGTGCATGTTACCAGTGTCCTCCAGGGGACCCGTGGTATCCTGTTGTGGGCTCCAGTGAGGTAAATTATAAACAGGCCGACAGTCAAAACCCAGCACAAGATGGCAATGAACATCACCCAGCAGAGAGCAGACAAATGGAAATACTCCGTTCCCCCAACCAGAATCCACACTAACATGCCACACATCTGGAGGAGAGGATAAGCAAGAAGAGGAGGCTGATCATATGCAGTGTTCCTGTGTGGCAGCACAGGATTACACTGTCAAATTATAATGGAAAACAAAGTAAGAGAGCGAAATACGAGGTTTAGAGCAATGAAAATACAACTCGAGAGGAGAAGCTAAAATCTAGTAGGGTTTAGGTTTGGGTTTGGGGAGTATTTTGTTCACTGACTGAAGCACACTGTCACATCCATGTGCTCTGAATGAAGCATATAGAGTATGTGGATCAACTGTTTTGTTTTTGTTTTTTACAGGTCAAAGTTTCATTCTTTTATTGATTCCACCAGTTATATTTTTAAAGTCATGGAAAAAAGATAATTGTGGGCTATGAAATGTGAAACCTTCAAGGCAACTTTGTCAAATAAAAAACAAAATAAACAAAACTAAAAGCTACAACAAAAAGTAATGTTTCCTGTCACATTTTTTTTTTTTAGATGTGTTATTTGCTGTTTCATAGATGACTTCCAAATTTCGTACATTCAACATGCCCCATCTCCACTGAACCAAAGGGTTGTGGTGGTGAGCCAATAAATAGCTTTCCTCCCAGCACTATTCCAAACCCACCCTTCCTGTTTCACAACAAAAAAAAATTATACTAGATGTTTCATATCACGAGAACAAAACATTCTCATGTGAAACGCGACCGTGAGTCTGGTTTTTGACTTTTAAAGTGAATTCTCTTAACCTCTAGAGTCCCTGCGTCCTCATATGAGGACCGCACAGCTTGGGTTTCCAAAGCTCAGGACTCTAGAGGTTAAAGGTTACCAATTTAGCATCATGATCTGCAGCGTTACTGAAATATTTCACTGACCCCTCACATTTATTTAAACTAAATAAATGAATTTGCAGTTACATGTAACATTTTCCAGATGTGATATTCATAGTTTTCTAATCTATATGTCAAATTATTTTAAAATAATTTTTCAAAATAGGCAGTTCTAAAATGTGTTTTTATTACACTGTATTTTATTCATGTATTTTTGAATCATCTTGAAGCCTCTGTATGGCAGCCAGCCAGACTGTATTTAGAGAAAAACTGCCCTGTCTTTTTCCGTCATCTGATGTGGAAAGGAAGACAGACAATGAGGGAGAAACGGAGGAAGAGTTGTTATACTTGGTGTGTTTTTGGTTAACTTCCTATTTTCTTCAAAACACACAACTCCTATGTTCTTCTTTATTCCTGCATTTTTCATTCTAAACAGTACAGTGAAACAAATGCCAAAAAAGTTAATTTATGCTATTATTACAACCATGAATTCCAGGTCCATTTTACAAAAGAACATAATGAATCTCTTTTCTAACAAGAAAAAAAAATCTGCCTTCATATGTTTTGTACAGGCTCATTGTATTATACTAGACCCAGCTGGTAGACAAAAAACAAACTAAACATCAAAATTACTGCCACTTTCTAATAACAATTATTAAATGTATAATTAGTTTGCCAGGAGTTGCAGCGGCAACTTCTTGTCGTTAGCTTTTGTTGAGCCGCGGAGCAGATACAGTCTTCAAACAATCAACAGCCTAAAACCAAATCTACATTTACACTTACGATCTCAGCCAAGAGAAGTATTCCTTTGGCAGTCATGGTGAAATGCTGGTCGAAGGCCAAGGTGGAGGTTGAGACATTGTACTCTGGTACTGGGGGGCTCCTGCGGGCCGATACCACAGCCGCTCCCTCCATGGTGCACAGACACACACTGTACTTTCAGTGAGGCAGTCGCTGCAGCAGAGGAAATTGTCTTCCTGTCCCGGAATTCAACAACAACAACTGTTTCTTTAATTTGCGGTCTTGTTTGCCTTGATTTAGAAAATCACTCAAGCAGTCAAGAAACATTAGTATTTAAACATTTATGGTTAGTCAATAAAAATAGTTTAGATAGACAGTTATATCTTTAGTGTATTGCTCTGCCACTGCTGTTTATATTGGTTTAGAGTGTGGTCAAGTAATAAATGCTATGTACTCTGGTGTCTGTCTTTTTAAAACTGGACATAGAACTGCTAAACACTGAATGGCATAACTGAAGGTCTGGCCCTGCTGTGATGCACCTATGACAGGAGTGAGTGGCTGAGTGACCACTGGGGGGCAGTAGTTGCACATAGATGGTAAATGAACCTGATTTGAGAGTAAAACAGTCGGAGGCCCACAGGACTCACTGGGCTGGTTCACTGTCTACACTGGAATATATATATATATATATTATGTCAGTCTTGACTCTGTTTTTCCTCTGATAACTGAATAGAGAATAAAGCTTTACAAAGTAGCAAATTTAACCTTCGTTTTTCATAAAAAAATAAAACCTGGCTTCCATGTAATTTGTGTTTGCATTTAATCAGCGGGATTAAGTCTTCTCTCTGTTTTTCCTCTGATAACTGAATAGAGAATAAAGCTTTACAAAGTAGCAAATTTAACCTTCGTTTTTCATAAAAAAATAAAACCTGGCTTCCATGTAATTTGTGTTTGCATTTAATCAGCGGGATTATGTGTGGCAGTGGTTTCCCATGGAGGCAATTCCATTCTTCACCCTGATTGGATTGGATGGGTGCAATGGAAATAACTGACTGTCTATAAATTCAGTGGTATAAATGATTAAAATTTATAATGGAATGATGCCAATAAGAGTAAAATCAGAAATAAGGGACTGTTTGGGTTAGATCCCAAGCCCTTCCTCCCCAACATCAAATGCAAACAAACTTCACATTAAGCTGCTTTGTGGTGCTCCCCTACACTCGGTATCCTGGACCATATGCGACAGGATATTTAATGTGCTTTATGTTGAGCTATTTGACTGACTAAGTCTGTCCTGTTGAGCCCATTCTGCTCTGTACAGCAGTACATCCACTGCAGCAATCTACACTCTGCATGTCTGTATTGCATTATTCCTTTCTTTGTTGAGTTGGGGAGTGGCTACATCTAGACAAAATATTAAAGAACCAATGGCCCACCAAGACATTTCTGTGGATGGGAATGGCAGCCTGCACCCAGAGACATGAGTTTCTTTTAGAGACCAGTAGATTTTCTACAGCTAATTATCACAGCAGAACTGGGGTCATTTAACATTTATTCTGTTAATTAAAAATGGAAGCACAATCTCAGTGTCATTTACTAATGTCAGACCACATTCTTAATTATTTCTTCACAGACCGAATGTGACCACCTAATTCTCCTTTATAGCACATTTTGAGTAGAATATTGTTGTCACCCCAAACACATAAAAGGACCACGCTTATACTGTGAAAGGTAAATGGAAAGGAATTATCACATTTGTTAGGGGTGTGCAACAAAGCAGACTTACAGTCCTGCACTTGCATGAGCCACATTAAGCAAGATTTTCAGTTAAGATGTGCTTTACAAAATCTGTTGCCAACACAGAATCTGTATGAATGAATGAATGAATGGAAGCCAGTGAACTTGTATTAGACTGGACTTTCTCCACAGACACACACATGGAGTTGCTCTAAAGTTATTCATCTCAATCTGTTCTACCAAAAATTTGTCCAGCTTCTCCCCCTGCTCCACCCACTGTCTTTTTCCAGCTCTCATCATCTGGAGCCATTTTTTGCCTTCATAAGGACCTGTTGAGAATTCAGTTTACCATTTATCACCTGTGGCATGAGCTGAACTAAATAAAATGAACCAGCACAAACAACAGGCTGCATGGAATGGATTTTGTTTGGATGACTGCAGTTTAATGTGCATTTCTAAAGACTTGTTGCGATGGACAGAGTTTTAGAAAATGATCAGATACATTGATGAGTTCATTACATGCACAGTGGATTGGAAAAATGTACCAGTGAACTAAAGGAGAATCTTTTAATACCTGAAAATCTTCTCATAACTAATGAGCATGCAGGTATGAGCATGAAAGGTAATATGAATATCTGATAGCTGTCGATCTTGCGTGATCTTACATAGCCCTCACCATAATTAGTGGGAATAGACCAGGCTTTTCCACTGATCAATGGCCTTGCGCCTCCTGTAGTAGCCACCATTTCTTTAGATTCTCAAAGTAATTATGATGCTCTATTATCTCACTGGCTCAATTAAAATTGGGTTTCTCTTTTAATTTCCTGAGGCTTGTTGGCACAAAGTTAATTACTGGTTATTTCCCTGCATTTGTAATGTTTGTGCACGTGCATGCTCTCTTGCCCTTACATGAGACTTTTTAACATCTAACCAATGACAACAATAACAGTAATGATATATAATCACCAATGAATGTGTAAACCATCTGAGAAAATAGAAAGCAGCCGCCAAGATAAATGTGACAATACACTGTGGGGGCTTAAGAGAAAGATAGGTTTATTGCACCAACCATAACCAATCATCATCATCTTAGAATGATTTAAATGTAAAAGACAACGTAAAATAAATACAGTTAGTTTTCTACAGACTCCAAAGTGAATTATGCAGTGGACTAAAACTGTGCAGGGTTGTTGGTTGTACTTTCAGTGAGTACTGTCTTTTCTGTGATGTGTTCACATCTCTGCTGGAATTGACAGAACTTTTACTGAGTGTTCCTCCCCCTACCCTTGCGTCCTCTAAGTGTCTTTTCCATTCTCACCACTGTCTTCGTTGCTTCACTGTATTTGCTCTTCTATGCCTCTAATTCTCTCTCCCTTGTTCTGCCTTCCACTTCATGGCGAGTGTTTTCACAAAGCCTTACCACTGTCACACATGCACACACAGATTTTATCCCTTGTGGAGACTTTATGTTGACTTACTTTCATTTCCTGGAGACTTACCATAACCTTAGCATTAAACCAAGTCGTCGGCCTAAAATTCAGCGATTTACATCATCTGGACCAGCATCCAGTCCACACAAGGAGGGCTGAGTCCCCACAACGTGAGTAATGCCAGGTGCAGAAATAAATGTGTGCTAATTCAGATGCTGCAGTGGAATTAGCCGCTGTGGTTTCCTGCTGTGGCGAAGATATTTTAATGCACATACTTAAAGGCACACACGGCTAATCCTCGCCTCTACAGCATCTGCCACATCCCCCAACACGTGCTGGATAAATTCAACCACACACTCACATACACACACATATGCACATCATGCACACACACAGTATAACCATGCAGGCAGCCCCTCCCAGTTTAACCACAAGCCCTGACATCAGTTCAAAATAAAATCATGCGGTTGTTCACGAAAGGCACGACCTCACCCTCTGAGACTGCAACTGCTGGTTTTTTATCTTGAGCAGTGTTTCCCTTGGACTGGTTTCTTGACTCTGTGGAAAGGCCTTTGGATCAGAGTGTGGATCGTGTGACAATCAACATTTCCAGTGGATTTTTTTGGAGTACTTTATATTTCTTCTTGTCATGTGACACAAGAGCCAAGAAACTATTCCTTGAAATGTGTAGGATATTTAAATTCTTTTCTGTGCTGCTCTCTTCCCTGTCTTTTCGTACACATTCTTCTAATTTTCCCTAGAGTAGTGAGGTTTATTTTTCCCATTAACCATATCAGCTGGTTTTATGTCACAAAGACATGATTTTCCCAAAGGTCACACCCATAGTTTTCATTGTCTGTTTACCATAACTGTTGCTGCCCTTATGTTTGTGTGGCTAAAGTAAAACATGCTTTGGTAGTTAAGTCATCGATAAATAGCAGCGATGTGATATTAAACTTGTCCACAACTGTTTGAGGTTGGAGCTTACTACAAAATAATAAATGCATTAATTAGGAAACTGTCATCTGGAAGCTGGGGCTGCTTTTCACCTTGTTGACTCTGATTTAATTACTACTCAGACTGAAACAGGGTGAAGCACTAGTGTTTTAAATGGCTGAAATTTCACTTCTGCTGTTGGTAATATTGTCCAAAATCTTTTAGAAAATACTGTTGTTTAAACCTCTCATTATAGTTACGCTCATGTTTTTCGATTCAGATCTGAATTAAAATTTGGCATTTGATATTAAACTAGCAATTTGTAGACGTCGGTGACAGGGATAAAATTCCATGTCAAGGTATAACCAATTTTACAGTATATAGTATAATAAATTATCTGGAAAATCAATTAAGAATTTTTTTTGTTTCTCTCTATATGTCTGTCTTTTTCTTTTCTTTTTTTGATAAAATAGCCACATGAAAGTGTCTGGTTTTGTCTAATCCAGTAATTTAAGTAGCAAGAAATGTCATCACTTTGATGCAGAATCATATATATATGTATGTATATTACCATACAGCGCTCCTGCACATTGATAGGCAACATTGCCCACAATGGCCAAATATATCTAGAAATTTTAAAGTGATAGCTATTATGATATAGGTTGATATCATCTCCTGTTATATATCATCTTATCATCCCCCCCAGCAGCTCGGCTGCCCAAACCCCTTATACGCAGCCAGTTCACAAAGACAATTAATTAATATGCAGTGGAGAAACGCATTCAGAAGCTTTGATTTCTAAGAGAGTTTTTATGTTTTAAGTAATATTATAGAACATAAAACAGACTTGATTTTAATGGCAGAAGTTGTCTTATCACCAGGTTAAAAATAGAGACAGACCCTCCACCTTTTGATGAACATTTATTAGCTACTAACCTTACTAGTGCAGAGAGGCAGGGGGGCGGATGGGAGGAA